TTTTTTTACATTATTAGAAATGTAACAGCCCCCAAAAGACAACTGTAATCAAACTCATGAAGGAGATGAAGAAGCAAATAGCTTTTCTACCTAACTGGATCTGACAGCTACTATTAGGCAGCCATAAACCTAGTATTAATCTGAAATGACCCCACACGATATGTGTTCAGAGGTGGGTTTTGGGAAAGGTGATTTCATCATGGGGTACTATACTCATCATGCATTCGTGGGTTGATAACTCCATAAGTGATGCACTATTTGGAGTTGGATGTCTGGTTACAGGAGGTGAATCATGCGGACTAGCCTTTGGAGGACATACTTTATCTCTCTCCAGGTCTTCCTTCTCTTTTCACTACCCAGCTGTGATGAAGTGAGCAGCTCTGTCCCACCATGCTCTTTCACCAGATGTTTTTGCTTTGGAGCCAGCCAACCATGCACTGACCCTACAAAACAGTGAGCCAAGTAACCCAGTTCCTATGTAAACTGTGTATGTTAGGCATCCTGTCCCATCAATGGGAAGTCTGATACATTTGGTGTAAGTAGTCAAATTAAAATAGAAGCCAAAGTTTGATTCTCAGGTAAAATTATAATACTTTTTATACAATAATAGTCAAAATCAAAGTGATATGCACAATATAAATACAAATATAAAATTCCAATATCACTATCAACTTTGAATTCTATACAGTATTGCAATTTTTCAAGTATATAGCTACATGACAATTTGGTCTTAGTATATATACGTAGAGCTTTGTGGGTAATCACTGTATTAGAAGCTTCTGTCCACATCTTTGTCTTTTACCAACATAAAAAGACAATTTCCTAATTACATTTTGTTTCTCCAGAACAATGGATCGTAAATTGTTCATATTGGATATTTTCTATAAATAGATGATGGATAGGGGCATCACTGCTTTGAAAGATCCTTAGTGCTAGCACTGATAAACACCAACTGTTGTTCCATAAGCCCCTGACTTAAACACACTGGCGCTGCAAACTTTTGCAGTTACGAATGGACTGCACACTAGGAACACTCATCCATGCAAGCTAATCATGGAGATAGCTCACATGGCTACCCTACCATATTAAGGTATCTTTAAAGAATAATGTGCTGCTTTGGTTTGGAGTTTCTAATCTATGGTTATCAATTATTTTTTCTTTTCTATAAAACAAGTTTGGTACTGTGGATTTATATACAGGGTTTTTGCATGAGGCTCCATGCCCAAAGCTTTCTAAATTTTCTTTTTTTGTTTGCACACACTGCCCTCTCTGGGCACACTGCCTGGCCTCCCACACCTTCTTTAAAATCTTTATGGAAGTCTTATTGACCCTAAAACGCTTGCATTTTGTGTGCACCTAGAACCAGCACCTGTCGATGATGTCAAGGTCTGCTACAGCAGTAGCCAGGCTGCCTCCTCTCCTGGCTGTATGAGTGGAATGCCTGGATTGCTTAGGATTAGGAACCAACTCCCAAGGAACAAGTTCCCCAGGCTGCCACCATTCTGGATCATGGAGTTCCGGGGCTCTCTTTCTCAAAGCAGGCATTCGTCTTTGCAATTTTGAGACTGCAAAGGCTGAGTCTTGCTGGTTCTTGTTATGTCCTCAGGCCATCTTTTCTATTGTCCTGCTCCTTGGCGCCAATCAAGTTCTCATGTCCTCTTTCCTTGTAGTCTGTATTTTTACCAGAACTTTCTTTCCGGTCATACTCACAATGTTTGAAATCATTCTTTTGGACTCTGCTCTTGATTGCCCGTGACTAAAAGCAACAACAGTAGCCCTGCCACAACCTCAACTTTAGATTGCCATGAAATTTCTTCTGCTAGATTAATTAGCTTGCTGCCCTTAATCTCAGTCTCAGGTAAAATCTATGGACAAGATCAAACTGCTGACAAATTTTCTGCTAACGCATAGCACAAGTGGTTTGAGTTGATCAGCCCAGGCAGTCCTTCTCCACAGCAGAAACCTCCTGAGCTTGGTCTTTGCCAGATACAATTCTACCATTATTCTGGATTCTGAGCTGTGATCTCCTGTCACGTACAGCTTAAAGTATTACAGGACTAGCTTTGTGGAATGGCAGTGTCATAGCCAATGAGGTTAATCCAAGCCACGATTACTCTGAAAACTCTCATATGGCTGCTCTTCAGTCGGTGTTGCCAAACTTTTCCAAACTCTTCCCACAGGTGAGTGGCAAATGTTCCTGAACTCATGGTCAGGTACAGTCACAGGAGGATCCCACCACTGGTATCAAAACCTGTCTTGTTATTCTTCTCATTGCTGATACAAAATATCGGATACCCAAAGTTAAAGGAGGACAGGTTTATCTACCTCACATTTCTTTAGTGTTTAGCGTATAGTTGTCTGTCTTCAAGGCAGGCTGTCAAGACAGAGGGGCACCACAGATGATAAACAGCTCTTGGCAGACAGAAAGTAGCAAAGCAGTGAAGCATCAGCCGCAGCCAAGCTCACCTGTATATTTCACCCAGGCTACTTGCCCTTTGGGTGGTGCCACTCACACCCCGGGTGGAGCACCTATAATCCCAGCATCACCTTCCTTGGATCCAGCCACCTCCCAGAAGCCCCACCTATGTGCTGGGCTTTGAGGGAAAGACGGAAACAAGACTCCGCAATGTGGTTCCACATGAGTGTGTGTGATGGAAATCCACTGCCCTTCACGGGGCAGTAAATCAGGACCTGGCCACTTGCTTCCTGAGAAGGGGAAGCACCGAGGTAATGCTCAGTAAGAAAAATACTACATGAAAGGAAAAACCATCTGCAACTTTCACCTTGCTCCTAACCTCCCGAATAAGCTATGTACACCACAAACAATCAAGTTCCCAATACAGCCAATAAATTTGCAAATTTATGAAATCATTCACTACAACCATTCACTGCAAAAGTAAATTTATGAATCCAAGAAAGTCAAGGTGTGGTCAATATATATATGGTGAATGTTTAAATTTTTAAAAGTAACACAATAAAAGATACATCATAATTAATCCCCCTCAAAAGACTTCTGCTCACTTCAAAAATATTCCATTGCTCTTGCCACTTTCTGGAGAAGTTCCAGAAGTTCAGTTTGGTTTCTTTGTGAGATGTGATTAAAAATATGACTGTTGCTGCTGAGTTCTATCCAGTGGGAAGTCAGGCTTATAAAGACAGTATGTTGTGTCTGGATCTTGCGCCATGTGACTTCTGCCTTTTCTCCATAGTCAAAATGAACACGAAAGGTATTTCAGACTCAATCAGAACATTAATGGAGCCAAGATAACACATGGAAAGATATAAAAGAGGACCTTTAAAAGAACTGCTTCATAAAGAGGCAAGAGTGATGGAACGCATGTCCTAAGGGAAGAGGAGTATTTTGAGAAGGACTAATGACAATTTGTCTTTCACTGCAATAATTTTTATTTTCTTAAACACTCGCTGTATTTTTCAATCATACATAATAAGTGAGCTAGGTTGCTGGGAACAGACAATTGAAATGTATTTTCCTGGTAACATATGTAAAGTTTTGCACATATCTCCCAAGCTCCTAGATACTATTCTGTGATGATTCCTCAAACCAAAGATTTTCTGAATTCAGCTGTTCAACTAACTACCATTAAATGTCTACTGCTCCAGGAACAGGTCTAGAGAGATATAATGTTCAAGAGATGTGTTCTTCGTCCAGGACCCAGCTTAAATTTGACTAGCAGGCACCTAGGATGCTGTGTTAGAAAGTACTGTAGTCCAAGGTAGGGTTCACATAAGACAGGGGTATAATCTGGCTCCAGTCAAGTTCACCTGACTTTACCCATACAAAGGGAACACGGTGAGAAGTCACCCAGGTAATTTGAGCAGTGGCCCAAGCAGCCCTTAGGACCCTGAAGTTGTGCTCCAATTCTTTTGGAACCTAGAGGAGCTCCAGGTCTGTTCCTCTCTTTGTTTAACTGAGGTTTTGAGCAAACCTTCCAGTTCAGTCCCTGCTGGTAACAATTTGATCAGTGAAAAAAAATTTTAAAATGACTGCACTCAAAAGAAATTTTATGTGGGCTGAGAGCAACTTGACCTAGGAATCCTTAAATTTATCATGGAGTAAGCAAAATTGCACTAGCCCAAACTATAAACCTTAAACTAAGTAAAAAGCGAAGCACACATAGAAATGTTCTGTGTATATTTTCATATTCAAGTCAGTGAAAAAAAAAGCAGTATCGCTGAACAACAAAGAAAACATTGATGTAATGGTCACGAGAACTTTAAGCCTCACTTTACAGAAATAAATTGGGCTTGAAGAATATGAAAGACTGTCTTTAGATGGACCCAAGTTCACATTTTGAATCTATCACAAAATCAGCACTCATAAACGTGAACAAAATTTATTTAACTCCTCTAGAGATTTTTCAACTTCTAGATGCAAAAATTGGAAAAAAAAGAATGCGAAGATTTTAGTGAGGATTCATTAGATTATCAATAAATATGAATTCCCTTTACTGTATTTTTTATCAGTACTAAAGGGACTAAAACTTTAAGGGGAGAAGAAAGAAAATTTATCTTTATAATTATACATTCCTATCTCTCTCTCTCTCTCTCTCTCTCTCTCAATAGACATATACTCTAACCATTATAGAAACACTTGGTCAGTCTTTTTTTTTTATTGTAATGGGGATCAAATTTGGGACCTTGCACTTGCATGGCAGGTGGTAGCACCACTAAGCTAAATCCCTGGCCCCACATTTGGTCATTCTTAATGCTTAATATTGCATTTCAATCTTTTGCTAGAAATGGAAGGCTTGAATTACAAGGAGGTGATGTTACAGCCTCATGCCTTCACGTTACAAACCTCACTAATGGCTCTAAAAGCAGGAGAAATGGCCATTGCTAAAATTAAAAACAATCACAGTCATCACGGAGTCTTAATTCATGTTAAATTTCACATCCACACACTTCTGTCTCTGAGGGAAATTTCATGCATCAGTGAGTGTACTTCCTGCAGGACTGTGGAAAGATGGGGGTCCTCTTACCATTCGTCTTTGTCAGCATCACAGTTGCAGAAGTGTCGAATGTCCAGACAGCTCTCCTCGAGGCCACATGCACACTGCCGGACCCCAGGAAGAGAGCCTCCCCAGTACAGGTGCTTCTCATTGGACCTTCCAATCCACCAGGTAAATGGGGCTCCATCTGAAAGGGGAGACATTTCACAGGTCACTGGGGCAAGCTGAAACAGAAACTGAGATGAAACATCCTGAAGATATTCATTCCACAATGCATTCTCTCTAGAGAAATGATGTCTCCTTTCCTTCTTTTCCCTTCCCTTGATTTCTTCTGCTCTTCTGTTTCTTCCTCCCCTTTCTCCACCCCTCCCTAGCCTCATTCCTCCTCCCTTCCACTTCTGTCTGTGTATCCACACACAGACACACACTACACACACATACGCACAGATTAAGCAATATTCTTTTCCAAGTATAGACGTCATGGAATGCTGATCCATGACAGAGCTCAGGGGCAGGACCACAAACTCCAAGTCCCAGGGATCACAACTAAGTCCATCAGGCTGGTTTTTATATAAACAGAAACAACAAAAAAGATATGCATATGAAAATATCTTAGAACTACCAAAGAAACACCACCAACACAGCCAAAATTATCCTAACTTTAGACCTCAGTCTCCTGTAGACAACAAGGAAGGTAAAGATTAAGGAGCAAAGAAGAATGCAGGCCCAGCAAAGAGGGGCTCCAACCTGGCTCCCATGGACTTTGTCATGATTCAAGTAGTCCTTCATAACAATGTGGTATTTTTTGAGAGAGAGAGAGAGAGAGAGAGAGAGAGAGAGAGAGAGAGAGAGAGAGAAAAGAGTTGTGAAATTTCAAGTTTATAGATTTGAGGAGAAAACTAAAGCATTTTAAAACTCAACAATGTGTTGGCCAAGCCAACCCTTCTGAGGTTCATATTTATGACATTCAAAGCTGATATGCTATCTGCAATTTGCAGTTGATATTGTTAACAGAAAACCAGTTTTGAGTTTTGCAGCTATTAATTTCTTTCTTTACAGATTGTAAAAATTTATTTGAGTTTCTTTCATAGTTAAGAGCAATTTCATTAGGTTAAAATGATCATTGAGAAAATGAGACTGTATCTAAAACGAAAAGAATAGATGGACCTGAGTGCGTCTTACACTTTTAGGTTGCATGGTGGTAGTTGTTTGTTCAGTTCTGTAATTGCTATTTGTTTTGTTCTGTTTGGTATATAATAGGGTATTGAATGTGCTTATTTTACAAATTAAAGAAGTATTTAAAGACCATTTCTTTATGATTTACCCTTTTAAAAGTAGAATAATTAATTACTAGTTATCTGAAGATGCTGTAAGATTGAAATCTTGCCTGACCAGGATTTGACTGTGTGTCCAAATCCTTACTCAAAAGTATATAGCGCCTATATACAAATAGCGCTTCAGAGTTTTCTCTGAATTGCACCCTCTGTGAAAGTCTCCTTGGAAGTCATTGCCATGAGGATGGAGAGAAAAGACAATTAGGAATTTTCAAAAATGTGTAGGTAAGGAGAAGAACATGGTGAAGGGTCTATGGACATCTTGGTTATTTTGGGGATGTTGCTTCACAGAGCAGACAGGCTGAAAGTTTCAACTCACTCCAGCTTAACACTGCACCTGCCGAAAATAGTCCACCTCCCTTCACTATCAGCCAGTCTAGAAATCTAGTTACAGAGGTTCCTTTACCAGTGTTTTCCTTCTCAGAATAATGCTACAGATCTGTTTAGTTTTAAACAATAATAAATTTCCTTGTTCCAAATCACTCTCCAGGTGAGCTGTGCTCCAGAAGCCTAAGAATGCTGATGAGTTCAACGCACACAGCACTGTCAGTAGTATGTCTAAACAGATCATGCCGGAGTGTGAGTCTGAGTCATACCATGCTTAATGAAGCGATTTCATTTACATTCTGAATACATTCGCCAGTGTTGGCCTTGCATCTGAGAATGGGAAAAATCTGCCCACCTCTTCCTCCTACAGCACCGTCTGGGAAGCTCACCGCAGAACACAGTAAATAGACCCCAGAGTAAAGTTGAATGGTACCATGGCTTATTTTTGGTCATACACTACTCACTGACGTTGTGAGCAGAACAACAGCATCATTGCTAATGGTCTAAGTCCTGGACCACTGATTTGTAGACACCTTCTAGTGGACACCATTGCTCCTAGAAATTTTACCAGTTTTTGTTGGGCGTGTGACCCATCCAAGAGTCCAGAGGAAAGCTCATTAGCAAGGAAAGAGTGTTTCTGTATGGAACCCAGAAGCCAGGTACTTACGTGTACGGGGCGCCTCCACGACAGAGCCCACAGAAGGGAAGAGATGCAGAGTGCTGGGCACGTACACCAGGAGCTCCCAGGAGCTGCCCTCAAGATCTTGGAGGGCTGGCAAGGCCATCAGGGTGAGACTGATGACTCTAATGTTTGCTGTGAGGTGGGTACAGCTTGGCTAAGTGCTGTGGTCCCTTCTCTACCTCCCAGTGGGCTAGAACAACTCATTTCAGTGTCCTTCCTGGCAATAAACCTACCACTCTCCATTCCAGCATGAGCTCGGCAAGGTCATCAGAATGGTGGGCTCCCGGCTCCCACCACTTCAAAACCTTGTCTATTTGAAGAAGGGAGTGGACCCCCTGTCAGGGACTGAGGAATCTGGGCCCCTTACTTATATACCCAACCTTCACAGCAAGCCTTCTAGAAGATTCCCTGCCTTCTGCCCTGCCGTTCACTAGCACAGGGAAGAGGCTGCTATATAAACAACACTCCTCTCCACTTCTGGATTTAACCTAGGAGGGCTTCCTCTTGTCTATGGAGCCTATGGTGCTGCAGCACAGAGCCTGTCAAAATAAAAACTCCCTTTGGCAGTCCTGTGGACAGGGTCATGAATTATTTCTCATGTATTATGGGCACACAAATCCTGTAAATCTACTTGGGATTTTTATCCCGTGGCCAGAGAGGTCCGTTTGGAAGAAACAACAATGAACAGTCAGCCATCTGCGCGTAGCAGCTCCAGAGATCAAAAGCCAATGAGGACCAACAGCCAGCAGTGATGCAGACCATCACTGGGTGGAGTGGACCTGTTGTGCTCCACATAAGCCTGCAACTAAGGTGTCTGCCAGCAGGAATAAAAGCAGCAGCTGGCTTGTTACTGTCCTCATCCAGCACTGACTCATGTCATTGGGATGACTAGCAGTGATGTACTCATCTGCTTCACAATTTTTATCGAAATCTACCAGAACAACCCTAAGATAATTGTCAATAAGGGCATAGGATATAGAAAAGACACTTGTGAAATTTCTCTAATATGTATGAATTTTATGCATTGGGAATTATCGTTATATCACTCCATGCGTACAATCTCAGTTCTGAAAATCCCCATATATAGTGATTTTTAGCAACCATCCTGAAAAAGCATCAGCCTTAGAGCTTGCACAGTAAACCAATATAGAGTGTGATCATTTGTCCTTTATTTGTGTCCTATTCGTATATCACCAAAACAAAGACCAGCAAAATTTACTCTATGGGTTAGTCAAAATGAAAATAGGAAACATCACTGTGCTCTTGGTCACTGACAGTGTTTGGAAATGTTTCTCGTGTATTCATCCATTTAATCGTTTAATCCTCAGAACCCTACCTGGAAAGCAAAAGTACTCCCCATTTTACATTAAAAAAAATGAAGCAAAGAAAGAGGAAATAGTGCCTCCAGGCCACAGGACAGGAAGTTCAGAATTAGGGTTTGCACATAAGCAGGTCCTTACCTAGGTGGTTAAACCCTGGGTTACACCGCTTCTCCGCTTTTAGGGAAAATGCAGAGGCTTTCAGCAAACCATGTATGGGTGGATTAATTTTTGAAAAATAAATAGGGAAAATTTAAGTGGCAATTTGTTTGCATTTACTAAAATAATGACAATGTGATTAAAAAACATCTCTGACCCAGTACACATGCACACAATAATAACCTATAGAAGAATGGAATGTTGGTATTGTGTGCTAGGATCTCTTCAGAATCACCTCACCCTAAGCTTCATGGAAATAACTCGGATGGGGCGTGACCTTTCATCACATGAAAAGCACCCTTCCTTCTATCCTGCTGTGAATTGATTTCATTCTTCTTCACGGCAGAATAATGCTCCACTGTAGTACATATCTCATTTTTTTAACCTGTCATCTCTTGATGAACACAGTCTGATTCTAAACTTAGCTTTTGTGAATAATGCCGCAATCAAATAGTCATGAAAGTACCTCTTTTGTATGCTGATTTCATTTCTGTTGGATGTACACTCAAAAGTGGGGCGGCATGTTAGAGCTACACATTATGTTAACTGAAATAAACCAGACACAGAAAGAAAAGTACTGTACAGTCATTCTAAAATATAGAAGCTCAAAAATATCAATTTAATACAAAATAGTAGTTACTAGAAGTTGGGAAGGATATCAGGAGCAGAGACGGAGGGTAGATGAAGACAGGATTTGATCCAAGCACACGACGTGCATGCATGGATGGAAATATCACACTGAAACCCGTCACTATGCACAATCAATACATGTGATTAAAAAGAAGAAAGAGAAAAGTGAACACAAACCAAAAATTGTAATGTTGCCCTGAGTATTAACTCAATTTTTATGTCAATATTTTTGGGATACAAATTGTTTTCTGAATGTTAAACTCACCACAGTATTTGGCAAACAAGTTAAAACTGAACATTATTTAATCCACAAAGCATAGCAGACTGCATGAGTGCAGTAGACAGATTTGTCCATAAATCTCATTTTCAGCGAACTTTTTTCAGCTCTTTCCCTCTTGATTGGTGCATGGGAAAAACCAAAGACCGCTACCATTTAGCGTCACCGTCTTTACTGGTAAAACTTCTTATATGTCTTACTTTCCTTTTATTTTTAAATTGTATTTGTGGTAGAGGGAATCAAACTCAGGACGTTGAGCTTGCGGGGCAGGAGTGGCCCTGCTGAGCTACATCCCTGGCCCTTAGACGTCCAACCACAGCTTCTTATTTGTCAAATGATCGTCAGTATAACCTTGCACTACAGCCTCTGAAAAGGACTCTCAAATAGGAGCCAAGGTAAGATGGAAATAAAAAGTTAAAAGCTGCATGTTATAAAACATATTATAAAGACACTACGAGT